AATCTCAAATTTCTAATAAAATGTCAACTTGAACATAAAATTTTCTCTTAAAATGTAAAGCCCAACATAGGGTAGGCTGAGGTTGTCTCTGAGCTTCTCAGAATCCGACGCCTTCTATTTTTCCTCCTTTGACTCGCTAATAAATGTTCAACATTGAGCTTTCTCCTTGAAAAATTCTTACTTCTGTTTCCTTGTCTTTTACTTTGTACTCAAAAGGGTATGAAATCACTGCTTTAATCGAGAGTTTTCTTAGGAGCTTCTCTCCTAGGATGTAATTAACTATAGGGGCTTGCTTCTATAGGGATTTGAGAACCCCAGACTAAAATAAACCTTGTTTTATTCATATAAAACAAGGGAAGAATCTTTGGGAACGTAGATATTTTTAAAACCTCATTTTTAATTTTGAATAGACTTATAGAATGTTATTATTATCTTTTTAGATAATATAATATTATATTTGTTATATTCAAATTTAGAAATGATGAATTTTATAAAACTCATTCTCGCTTTTGGATATCTTGAAGAATTTTATGTTCGTCTTTTAAGATGATATAATATTCTTCTTGCCATATCTAAATAAAAGAATGAATAAACTTTTTTCAAAAAACGTATTTCTATCTTTAAACATTTTCTATAGAATTTCATGTTCATCTTTTGAGATGATATGTTATTCTTTAAACTATGTTTGATCATAGAAATATCAATTTTCAAAACCCTATTTTGATATTGAATCCATTGTAGAATATTGTGTCAGTCTCCTGAGATTGTACTTTATTTTCAATGCAGTATTCGATTACAAAATAGGAGAAAACCAAAATCTGCGTGGTGTGACACAAATTTTTCCCACCACTTACATACGCTATAAATTTACTGGGATAAACCCCTCTAAATTTGTCAATTAGGAGGCTTTGACCTATCAAATACTGGACTTATTTTCCCACACCACTCTTAGCTTTATTCTTACATTTGCTTTTCCTTTCAATTTTGAACTGCTTTTTGAATTATTCACTAGTCTTCGCCTAAATTTTGACTTTACTTAAGTCTAATCATATGTTAATAGGTGCCCTATTGAAATCACCTATCAGGATTTCTATGAATTTCTACACATATCACTACAGACAAAATCAATATTTTGGCATCAGATCCTGATTTTAATTGGGGCCCTGCTAATACCCTTCTTAGAGAAACCAATGCCCCTATCATGACTCTTAACTAGTACTTTAGGGTGCGTTTGGGACGGCTTTACGGCTGCTTTGCTTTATAAAAATTTATTAAGTGCTCGTTTGGGACATTGCGGTAGAACAAAGTTAGAAAAATTTATGCTGCCGGCCGCTGCTTCTCGCGACCTTTTATTGCGTCCCGCGGTCCCCTACGGCTCACTGCTTTCCGCCGTTTCGAAGGGCATAAAAGAAGGAAAAGCTGGGTCGCTGCTTCTCCGATGCGCGCCTTCTCCGATGGGCATATTTTTCTCTACAGCGTCGTCGTTATCCTCGTTCAAAAGCTAGGGTTTGCTTTCTGATTTTTGGCCGCCATGAGATTTATTACATCTACCAAGGGAGGGCGTGGCAAGTCCAAAGCCACGAAATCTGTGTATAGATCTCATAAGGCCGGTTTGCAGTTCCCCATCGGGAGGATTGCTCACTTCCTTCTGGCAAGTACGCTGAACGTGTTGGTGCTGGTGCTCCCGTATATCTTTCTGCCGTCCTTGAGTATCTAGCTACTGAGGTTGGTATATTAATCTATTTTTGAATGAGTTAGGTTTCTTGTTCTCTGTAATATTTGGCTGTAGGTGGTCTTATTGCTTTTGTAATCTAGGTTCTTGAGTAGGCGGGGAATGCAGCGAGAGATAATAAGAAGAATAGGATTGTGCCTAGACACATTCAGCTTGCCGTGAGGAATGATGAGGAGCTTAGCAAGCTTTTGGGTTCTGTGACAATCGCTAATGGTGGTGTTCTGCCAAACATACACCAGACCTTACTGTCGAAGAAGACTGGCAAAGGGAAGGGGGATATTGGTTCAGCGTAGTTTTGATTTTGATTTTTTTTATTAATTTATACATTTGGTTTAAATATGTATAAAGCAATAAAATAGTTAAATTTTATATCAAAATTGTTAACATAAAGAGTAAAAAAAATTAAATTTGAACAAATCTTATTCATCTTCATATATATAAGGGTAACAAGGTAATTTGTTGTAAAACAGCAGCAGCACAGCAGTTCGGCAGTAGTAATACCCAAACAACATTGACTGATTTCTATACAGCAACTTAAAAAAGCAGCTTTATGTACAACAATTTCACAACCTGCTTTACCGACAGCAGCAGCCGTCCCAAACGTACCCTTAGTGAAAGATGCCCAAACCATCTAGCACATTCTTTGCACCTTTATTATTTCTAAAGCTTCGGATCGGATTCATATTACTCCCATTCTATCACTCACCACCTACTACATAATGGCTCATTGAGATTTTAATGTTGATGATCTTCTAATCTAATATATTGAACATCTAACCAACTTTAGGAATCCTAGCCAAAAAAGAAAGCCAAATCTATCCTTAGGATATATCACTGCCTATGTCCTCAAATCCAAATACAACCTTCAATATCCAAGCCCATATGACCAACTCCTTATTTTTTACTCAATTAGCTCCTTCCACATCATTCATAATACTCATCGTCACCTTGTGCATGAGGAGGCTATGGAAAAAGAGGAAGGACATATTCCTGTACCTACCCCTATCTACCAGCACTCATATATAGATCTACTAATTCAGAGGTTTGACTAGTTGGAAACTGGGTTTAAATCCTACATAGATGAGCAGCAACAGCAGCATGATCAGGACTTAGCTCAGTATGTTGGATAACTAGCCGAGTAGCAACAACAACAAGATCAGGATATGGCTTGGTTTGATGAGCAGTTTATCTCTCTTCATCATTACTTTCAACATCCACCACTACCTCCACCTGATCAGGGTTCTTTTTTTTCTAGTTTGTTTGTTCTTTTGTTTCTATATTTATACTGGTCTTCCTTTTTATACTTTATTTTATTTAGTATTTTTTCTCCTTTTTACGATGTGAAAAGGGGGAGTAATGTGTGTTGTTTTTAATATGTTGTTTGCTTATGTTTTAATGGAATTTACCTTGTTCCATTTCTATTCTTTTTTATGTCTCGCTATTCCTTTAAAAAACAAAAAAGTGAAAAACAAAAATTTTCTTTTCTTTGAAATTTTTTAACAATAATGTTTGTCATCATCAAAAAGGGGAATATTGTTGAAAATTTAAGCCCAAGTAAAAATGGTTTTGGTTATAACAAAAATTATTATTTCTTTACTACTGCTATTCTGGCATATTTATTTTATTTACCGTGATTACTAAATTTTTAGGTCCATAATTTTAATTAAAATGAAAATCAGTTCAAGATTGGATAGACTAGGGTTGAGTTTATCTGTAAGTTCATTTTTAATGCCCTTTTTATTTTTTGAGTCAAGTCATGTATTTGGTGGAGCCCAATCTAAGTAATCTTTCACACACACATTCAGGGGGAGTGATTAGTGAGTTAGAGGTTTTTTTTTTTTAATAAATCATATAGGATGATTTTAATCGTAGTGAATGATCAATTAAAAATAGAAACCTTAATTAGGGTATCCCTGATAAATAAGCTTGCTTAACTAATCATATTACATGATTCAAGACCACACATGAAGATCAGTTCTGATTGTGAAAAACATCCAGCAATCACAATTTAGGTAATATTTTAATTTTCAAATTTTATTCTAATCATACAGGACGATATACATCATCCTGGATAATTTATGATAATCATGCCTAAATTGATCTGATGATTAGGGGAGTAATTATGGTTAGAATGATCAATCATATTCTATAAGATGATCCACGAAGATTGTACTGGATAATCTATTATATTTTATAGGAAGATACCCCATCGCCCAAGATGAAAAACCATAGTTTTCTTCTAATCGACCAAGAGAATCATACTAGAAGTCCCGAGAGGATTATAGGATGATATGAATATCACCACCCATCATCCCATGTTAAACTTGATGATTAATATAGTATCTTCAACTAATCATCCCAGAAAATCATAGGATCATACTAGATGAACTTTACAAATACTTATACTTATCATATAGGGCAAAGGTGATTGTCCTGTATGGAAGGGATATTTTGTACTAAACGTAAAGGATAATCCATCGATCTTACTGGACAATATTTATTGGCAAGTTAAAATTTAGGGATTCTTTTGAGGCTATTTATTTAAGCTCTCCCTATTTTCTCTTGAGATAATCTTCTGTTGTAGAGGATATCTGAGATAGAGCTTAGAGAAGGAAGAGGGAGAGCTTGAGAGAGAAAAATCCTTATTAGGGGGAGTTGTAAGGTATTCACAATGGTTGCTCCAAGCAAGGTGTTCATTGTCTTCTTCAAGTTGCTTCTTTGGTTCCTTGGTGGCTCTAGGGAGATCTTCATCATCATTAGATGAAGGTTCTCTACCTACTCCAGCAGGGAGTAAAAAGATTCTCAGGTTCTTTACCTTCACTAGGTGGGTGAAAAAGGATTTCAGGTTCTCTGCCTACTCCAGGAGGGAGTAAAAGGATTCAAAATTCTCTACCACACCAGATAAATGGAAAGATTTTTTAAGGGCTTCTCCACCTTACTGTGAGAGCAAAAGAAGAGTCGCTGTTTTTTAGTGCAATACTTGGAGAGGGAGTCTCCAAAGAGTTGATGTGGGTTAAGTTTATCGAACCACTATAAATCTTGGTGTGTGTTTTTTTATTTTATTTTTTTTATTTTTATTTCCACATATTTCTATGATTTAATATGTGGTTAAATCTCTGATCTTTGTTATTGATAAATTAGTTTTTCTTCTGCATAAATCATTTTTTGTAATATTCAAAAAAATTTCAAAAAGATTTTCTTTTTCGTTAAGAAATTTTTAAATAACCAATTCACTCCCCCCCCCCCCCCCCCTAATCCCCCCCCCCCCCCCCCCCTCTTGTTTAAACTCGGGACTAGTTCTTTAAGGTTTAACACACCTTACAAACTTTCAATCTCCTCTCCACAGGATTTCATCAAAGCAAGGATGATCCCCTCTACTTAATATAATCATAACCACATTCAAATATATCTCCTCATATATGTAGATGATAGCATCATCACAAGAAAAACACCAAAGCCATCCCCCAACTTCTTAACACACTTTGCACCAAATTCTCTTTAAAAACCTTAGGCACTTTTTTTAACTTCCTTGGCATTCAAATCACTACCAATCATCAATATTTCTTCCTCAATTAATCTATATATGCAATTTTAATTCTTCTTAACTCTGGAATGTCTTAATGGAAATAACTAGTTACACCGTGTCCTACCAAATCACCTAAAATCCCCACCCAAAACTCAACCATAATAGACCCATTTTTCTACCATCAACTGATTGGATTACTCTAATACTTAACCATTACTAGACCTGATATAAGCTTCTTACTTAATCAACTGAGTTCGCACATGAAAACACCTCTCTCTGATTACTTTCAACAGCTCAAACAACTTCTTTGATATATCAAAGGCATGATGAACTTTGGACTACACCTTTAAAAGGGTCTTCTTCAACGAATGTCCTTCTGCAATGCCAATCGGGCAACGGATCTAATCACTAAATGCTCAATCTCCAGACATTGCACATCTCTTGGTCCAAATATGATATTGTAGCAAGTAAAAAAGCAAAAAATAGTCACTCGATTGTCCACCAAGGCCAAATAAAGGGCTCTCGCAACAGTCACTGTCATCTAGCTTCACTGCTTGCTGTAGGTTTTCAATATACCAATTTCTGCTCCAACTGACATACGTTGTGAAAACATTTCATCTATAACACTAGCCAACAATCTTGTGTTCCATATGAGAATAAAACATATTAAAATTTATTGCCATTTCATAAGTGATCACATCAACTCTCAAACCATCAAAATAATTCCTATCAGCTCTCAAGACCAAATAGCAGATATCCTCACCAAACCACTTCCTGTCTCCAAATTTCATCATCTACGACTCAAACTGACAGTTTAATAGGAACTATTAGTTTGTGATGGGGTAATAACGGCTACTAATTTTAATTATACAAAGAAAATGGATGAATTTGATCTTGCATCGAAAGTTATAATTATCAAAACCAAATTAGATAAAAAAAATGCGTTGATGAATCTATTTTGTGAATATTAACACACACATATGATTATACTATGTGAATATTGACACATATATATAGACCAAAAACCTTTTCTTGAAAGCATGTTTCTTTAGTGGAGGAGATAGGATGAATTATTTTATGAACATCTCTTTAATGTTTATAAGCATGTTATCATTTTGGACAGCTTTTGGCCACTTCTTTTTTATGCTTTCAATATATTTTGTACTAAAAAAAGCCTTACAAAATAGTAAGAAAGTCATCCCAAATAAAGCCTAAGATTGAACATATGAAGCATAATTTATAGGGTTCAAATTTGATTGTGAAAATGCATCAGATACTTGCTCTTAATAACATAGTATAAAAAAACTAAGCTCTCATGACAATGATAGTAATAGTAGAACTAACTTAAATTATACTTATTGTGGTAATAATAATAGATACATCTTTAAGATATTGATTTGATTAAGAACAAATTTTAATGTATATTTTTAATTAGAATTTTTTTAAATTAAATTTATGATCATACAATCTCCAATTTTAGCAAACTTAAGGTACAAATGAGAATACCGACAAATGAACCCAAAGACATCAAAAGTGATTCAATTTGAGACCAAACTAGCCCAAATCAAGAACTTGAAGCATTAAAGAAAACCTTGGAAAATTAAATAATGGAACAAATGATTTTTTATTTTTGTATGGTTATAGTCAAAATAAGCGTCTAAATAAAAGGAATTCAAAGAGTATAATATCAACAAATTATGACATCATTAAAAAACTTAACTACCAAAAGAATAGTCGATGATCAAAGGAATCAATAAGATCTATTCA